CCACAGTAACAGTACATCTCAGATCGGGACTCACTGGATTAAACAGTTGATTGTTTAGAATGGGAAATAGAACACTGGAAACTTTGGTGATTAGGAAGATACATTATGGTTTAGTATTGGGAAGCTTCAAAAAGTTCAAAATGGCAAAGAAACGGACAGAAGTTCTGAGGGAGGCGTGTTTAGCAGTTTCTTTTGCGTACTTTCTTATTTGGCATTATTTATGTGTTTAGTTGTTTTTATCATTTACACTTTTATTATATGGAGGATCCGGATTCACACTCCTCACAAGTTGATGGCGGTAATGCACCCTCGAGTTGTTTGCCAACCCCAATAAACACCACAAGAAGAAGAACGTAAAGCAGGAAGCAGCAGAGCCATGGAGGAGTTCATCGTGCCGTTACAAGCGCTGCTTTTGTGCTTCCACACTGTACTGGATTTGCAAAGATGCGTGCATCACATGTTTTTGGTGCACCGTCAACTTTCGGCTGCACGGCGCAGAGAGCGGCGATTGCGTTTGCGGAGATTGGTAAGTATGCAACTCCACTGTACCATAGGTCTTTTCCATCGCCTGATCCGGAACGATCGGGTCTGGGTATTATGGACCGGTATGTTCCAGTAAGGGTCTAGAAGTTTTCTGGTAAGCGTTTATCGCATTCCAGGCTCCAGTTGCCAGGCGGGGTTGCGTAATGCGTCACGCGCGATGAGTGCCTTAACGTCACACAGCGCGACGAGGACGCGCCAAAACACAACAACAACAATGGAGTCCAGGCAGCAGCGTGCTCTGTCTGTTCTTGTTCTTTGGTATATTCTTTACACCCACATCACGGTAGCGTTTAGAGCTATGCTGTGCGCATCGAGGAGGAGGGCAGCTGAAAGGCGACGACGCTTTCTGAAATTAATATCGGACACGAGGCAAAACTTTCTGCTGTTAAGACAAAGACGCAGGCGCCAGGTGGTAAGTAACTTCTAATGTAACGCATGTTATAATCTCTGAGGGGTTGTGTAGAGTTTTCTGGATTGGTTTAACAATTGAAACAAAATGTTTAGCGACCCGAGCCACTCCATGCCAGATTGGGCGGTGGAAAAGACCTACTATTAGTCGTTCTTTGCCTGTCTCGGTTCGGGTTAAAGCCTGATTCCTGCCTCTCCGTCAGCTCCAACAAGGAGACACACGGACGGAGACATTTTGCCCTCACACCCAAGTGGTGCTCGCTGCAGAACCACAAAGGCGGAGCTGTACCAGTTCCCCGCCAGGACAACAGAGGGCGTAGCGCTGTTCTGTGGTATCCTGTCCAAGATGGTGTGTTTGTTTTGTGTTTTTTGTATGTAAGATACTTTTTAACAGACAAAATTTGTCTCATCCTCCTCCACCTCTTCATGAGCTTGCCACCTCTAAAGCCACGTTTCCGGTCATTTCCGTCCACAAATAAAACGCTTGCTGCGCATCTTTTCACTCCACCAGTCACGGGGATTTAAACAGTCATATATTTAGAGTTTTTTCGCGAGGCATTTTTCAAGCGTCTGATGTGCATTGTGATGAATCTTGGGCAACTCCGAAGGCAACGAGCCTGAGCTCCAGAGAACAACTCGGGAGAAGTTCATGATAACGTGGGAAGCCATACGACAGCATTATTCAACCGTAACCAGAGCTGGACAACGAAGTGTGTTGGTAAGCTAACGCTAATTTTAGCCTGCCACAAGACCACATTTAACCCATCGACATATATATATTGGACAATGGGTTTCCATAGACTCCAATAACACGTTTTTGAGGCTAAATGGGAGGTGGCCACCACCGCCATTTTGACCGTGTCACAGGTTCCGTCAAGCCCAGACAATTCCACAAAAGGGAAGAGAGGTGGAGCTGAGGGTGGGGCTGTAAGGCTGGGATCAACTGACGACACCCAGTCGAACTAACTACAAGCTAACCTGAAGCTAACGCGGAGGTGGGAGCTAAGCTAACGGAGGTAGCAACCTAGCTACAACCGGAGTTAACTGTGCACAATACCAGAGCTTCTGAGTCAGAGATACGCCTGGCTGACCGCTGGGTAAAACCGGGTGGAACACAGAGGTCTTCTGAAAGCTGCTGAAAGCCAGCATCTGCGCAGCAGACAGAAGCCGCGATCAGACAGAGCTGCGCCGAGCTGCGGGGAGGGGAGAACCGGGTGGAAAACATCAGTCTCCTGAGAGCTCCACAAGCCGATAGTCAGAACCCAGCTCCACCAACATGTTATATTTCAACCCATTTTCTAAAGTGCAGCATTATGTTAAATGCACTGGGTTTTACCCTATTACATTTAAATTTCATGGTTAAACAGTACATGTTAAAATCTAAGCTCAGCTCGGCAGTGACCTAAAATACATAAATATAATTTTACTTACCGAAACAAATGAAGTGGAGACTCCTTTGATGCTCTATTAGTGCAATTAATGCCACAGCAAGTCATTTTGTCCAACAATTGCACAAATAATATCCAAACAAGAATACACAAACACAGAGACTCAAAATACCGGAACAGTTTCCAGGCCAGACCGAGGCTCTACTGAGGCCTTTCCACGGAGCTAGCTATGCGGTCACATGGATCTGATGCTCATTAATTATACAGAATTTTAGGCTTTTAATACACTTAAACAGAAGAGTGAGAAAAAAATTCACCCCCCTCAGAGTTGTCATGAGTGTAAACTAGATCATTTAAACAAAAAACATGTTTTGGTACAAGGCTGTAAACATGTTTATTTCTGCTGTGAAATTGGTATTTTTAACATGGGAGTCGATGAGGATTTGCTCGCTTCCGACACCAGCCCCTAGTGGATGAGGGTGGAACTGCAGTTTTTGGTACTTCCGGGTTGGCTTCAATTTTTGAGCCGCATTGTGGGGGCTTGGTTTAACCACACAGAATTTACTTGGAATGCCTTTTAGAACTGAAATATTTTTCTCTTTCTTCAAGCTGTTCTTGTTGCTGGTTTGTTGTCTTTGCTTGTGTGGAAAGTTAGTTTATTCTCTTGAAATGTTTTAATAAATCATCACATCACACAGACATGTTCTGGCTTTTATGGCAACTGTAGTAGAGCACTAGCCTAGACGTCTAGACGGACCGTAACAGAAGTAAATTGATTTCTAGGCCGGTCTAGCAACGCTCCATTGGAACACCAGCAGACCCGAGTGGCCTTGTGTCCGGCCAATCACAGCGCTCTAATGGTTTGGTGGTCGGAATGTTTCTACGACTGAGCTGAGGAACAAAGATGGCGCCGGCTCAGTTGAAAGGACTTCTGAATGCTCACAATGCTTTCGTTCCTACTAGAGACCACTGCAAATGAGTGTTCCACGTCCTTTTATTAAGAAAAATATGTGTTCATCTTCGGCGGTGTTAAGCAGGCTGCTCGAGTTTGAAAGACAACTGCAGATTCCACCCCACAGCTGAGCTCTCTATGATATGTTCACATATATAGGATGGCTTGCCAGGCTGGTAGGGTAACACCATGACCTATGTTGATGACGCGTATGCTTCGTGTGTTTCAGATGGCTTACCTCCAGAACACTCCCAGAAGACGGATGGTCTGGGCGATTGACCGTTCCTCGGAGTGGTGGGACGTTACTGTTCCTGCTTTCACCAACGAGCAGTGGTTGCAAAACTTCAGGATGACGGAACAGACGTTCCTCTACCTTTGCAACAAGCTACGTCCGGTTCTGGAGCGACAACATACGTCTTTCCGCATGTGCGTGCCTTTGCAGAAGAGGGTGGCCATTGCCCTGTGGCGGCTAGCTACTGGCTCTGAGTACGCTAGCATTGGACGTCTCTTTGGTGTCGGCTGCACCACGGTGTGCAGGTGTGTGCGGGAGTTTTGTTCTGCTGCAGAGACGTTTTTGGTGCCGGAACAAATCCGTTTGCCCGACGAAGAGCAGTTTAGAGGGATGGCTGCTGACATTGAGAACAGGTGGGGGCTGCCACAGTGTGTGGGTGCCATTGATGCCTGTCACATTCCCATCTTATCGCCTCAGCACAACCACAATAAATATCTCAATCACAATGGCTGGCACTCCATAATCCTCCAGGGCGTCGTGGATGGAAACGGCCTCTTCTGGAACGTGTTCGCTGGGTTGCCAGGGAGCTTGGATGATGCCAGGGTTCTGAGACTCTCCACACTGTGGGAGCTCGCCAGCCGGGGAAACCTGTTCCCAGCGCACACCAGGAGTGTTGGCACGATGACTACTGGCTACTACATCCTGGGAGACTCGCCTTATCCCTTACTGGACTGGCTCCTAAAACCGTTCCACGACAATGGGCGGCTGCCATCAGAACAGCAGATGTGCAACCACAAATTCAGAAGAGTGCAGCTCGTGGCTGAAAGTGCTTTCAGGAAGCTGAAGGGAAGGTGGCAGTGTCTTCTGAAGAAGAACGAGTGTCAGGTCCAGCTGGTGAAGTCTACGGTGCTGACCTGCTGTGCCCTGCATAATCTCTGTGAGAGTAATGGAGACATTTATGAGACGTTGTGGGATGAGGCGGTTGCAGAGGCGGTTGGACAGCAGTCCGTGGTGGCCGTGCCGCTGGATGTGGAGGAGGGGGGTGGGCATGTCCGAGATGCTCTAATGAAGCACCTGCTGGGCGACGGTCAGCCCGTAACGTAGGGCCGTAACAGCTCACACCTTCTGACTGATGTACAGCTTTGACCTATGGGGCAGTTTGGTCGACTGCATTTTTATGTGCCTGAAGTGCGTCTTTTGTTTTCTTTTGCACAAAAAGTTATCTTGTTTTCCTGTGACTACCTCATTTATCTTATTGTAGTTTGATTGTGTCCTGTCTCATTTTTATGACATCATGGCTACTTCTGGTCCTCTAGGGCCACCGTCCTGCAGGTTTGGGCTGTTTTTCTGACTGAATCCAGGAATCTCCTCAGTTTTTTCTGAAAATTTTCAAAAGCCTCCCATTAATCCAGGTGTGTTGATGCAGGGAACCATTCAGGTGTCCCTTGACTATCAGGATTAAGTAGGTGGGGTCTAGTTGGTGGCCTTTTGTGCGTCTTTTATAACCTGCAAAATAAATGATTCTGTTCATGTTGCAGTGACAATAAAAAGTGAACTGCACAATAATAAGAGTGTTGCCGTTTTTAGTTTACTGAAATTTATATTTAAGCAGAAAAGGGTGGATTGAGGTTCATTTAGAGTCCTCTAAAACAGTGGTGTCCTTCTGTCCGCTGAGGACCCCCTTGCTTGGACCCTCCAACTCCTACCCATGTACACACATTAAGTGATTAATTTGAACTTTATACAGTCATCATCAACAAGGCTCCTGCGAAGGGTTGGATGTCGTCTCGCGCCAGTGCGTTGAGCCTACCAGGTGTTCCAGTTGTTTCCAGTGCTGGCGGTTTTGTACCAGCTGCTCTGCATTCGCTACGGCAACTCCAAATTGTAACAACATCGGCTGCAGGGTTTACCTCGTGGTCGTCTCAAACCTGCGTCCCTCGGGTGAGACTGCAGAATGACTCTGGTCGTATGGTCAAAAGAAAGACGAAGGACATGGCCAAGCCAGCGGGTGCGGCGTTGCGCTGCCAGGCAAGGTGCTCTGGGCTGGTGCGTTATACAGGCGTACATAGTACATAGAACTGTCTGGCATATTTATGTACTATTGGATGTGTTCCAGATATTTTAGAAATGTACTTTTTATGAATATAATCTTAAAAGCCTCACAACCTCAGCACAGACTGAACTAGGGGGCATGAACTGGGAACCATTGATCTCTGGGATTTCCCTCTATAATCTCATTGCTGGGAGTCTGTCCAACAGTTTGTTTGAATCAAGGTTAGATTATTTATTATACACATGTTAGTGACTCTTGATGTAACACAATTCCCTTCCACATAAACATAAACACAATTCCTTGTGTTGTCCAGGAGCTAGTCCCGCATCAGTGAGGAGAGGCGCAGGGATGCTTTGGAGCCCGCGGAAGGACACTGCCGCTTCCGACCGCACTGCGGCTCTTTATCACCGCCTCACGCTCGCGTGCGCCATTTTCCTTCCTGTGGATCGACAACAGAGACGTATCGTAGTTGGACTCCGGCTCTCTCGCCGAAATGGCAGTGTGAACGTGTGCAGCCACCCAGCAGCCGCCAACCAAACAGTGCATCCAGCCAGTGCACTGAGTCACTTCTAAATCAGGAAACATGTCGTAAGTATTGTTGTGTTTTTAGACACTGAGCGATGTTCGCGGCCTACAAATATGGCGGCCAGACGAACGAGTCGTTGTGTAAAGAAAAACATACGCTCAGACATTATTTCGTATTTTGAGGACTTTATTGTAGAGTTAGTGATTATGTCCGTACGGTCTCTTACCACTAGTTTATGAAACCACCGCGTCGCCTCCGGCAAATCGTGATTTTAACCGTCTGTCATTGCGGCCGATTTCCAGCGTGGCACTAGCCGTTTGTTCCAATGAGTCAAGATGGCGGCTGGTTGGGCGTATTGACAAAAAACAACACAAGCTGGCGGTGTTGAGGGACGATGACGGAGCCCTCGACCTAGTTACAGCGAACTGACGTAACAGTCACAAGACTGGTGTCAGAGACGGACCACGTGATGTGTGTGCTCGCGTCAGCCACGAGGGGGCAGTGTTGCAGTGTCTTGAGCATGTCTGAGGGGCTTGATTTGAGCTTTTCTGATGTTTATTAAATTCTCACCGACTGTCCTGTGTTCTGTTCCAGGTCCTACGTGAAAAGCTTCAGCACTGCTGCATTTGACAGCACAGACGAGTTCAGAACCGCCCTAGAGTTACCACACACCCCCTTTGTGACCAACAACAGCCACTATGACCATGACAATGACCAGCTCACAGTTTGGCCTGGAAGACATGGAGGCCCTGTTTTGGGGGCCTTCCTCTCCCATGGCTGACGCTGTGGACTCCATGTTGGTTCACCCTGATGATGTACAGCAGAAAGGAGGAGAACGCTCGCTAGGGGAGAACACCTCACCTGCGTCACCCTTCGCTTCCTCGTTGCTGTCTGCTTCCTCGACTCCTCCTCCCTTCTACTCTCCTCCTCCCTCGCCACCAGCCGGTCTCCTGGGTGGGGACAAGATTGAGTCGGACCTGCTCCCCTTTTCTTGGTTGGACCACCCTGGTCAGCTGAAATGTGACCAGATGCAGTCGGGTGACAGCAAAGGTAGTGGTGGTCCAGAAAAAAGATCAGAAATCAGAAGTTGGGTCAGTGTGATTGAACAGTCCTGTCTGTCTTATTTATTTATTTGCAGAGGATGTGCTTTGTGACTTTGACTGGATGGGGGAACGGGTGGATCTGAGTGACTTGGACCTGGACTCTCTGATTGGCTCCTGCAGTCCTGCTGCGGAGGCTCCAAGCTCCCCAGCTGACCTCCTTGCTTCCCTGGAATGCTCCATGGAGCTTGACTCCTTCCAGCTGCCAGGTCCTCCGACCCCTGCACACACCGGCCCTCCATCTTCTCTACCAACCATCAGTTCAGATCCTGCTGCTATTATAGATGAGCCTGAATCTGGGGTCGGGGGGCAGGAAGTTCCATCTTCTCCCACCTCTGCCCCAGAGCCACGTGAGGAGCTGGAAATCAAATCGGAGCCTGCTTCTCCGGGCCCCCTTCCTGAGGTGTTTGAGTCTCCTTCCTCCCCAGAATTCACTCTGGACCTGGGCAGCGAGGTCGATATCTCCGAGAGTGAGGAGAAACCTCTGGTAGCCTCGGTGGTCCCTCAAGTCCCACGGATTGTGCTCTCTCTGTCCCCAACTCGCATCGTCCTTGTCCTCGCGCCCAAAAACGAAGTCACTGCCGCCCCCGAGGCGATACGCTGCTCCCCACCAGCCTCCCCTCTGCAGATCTCCCCCAGGAGCAGGCCATACCCCGAACCTAAACAGCCATCTAGTCCCCCGCCTACCAGCGTTGAGGCCAGGTACCTCCGGGCTGCAGGTGGACCCGATAGGGTGTCTCTCAAAGCACCCAGGGACAAGAAGCAGAAGAAAATGGAGCAAAATAAAACAGCCGCCACGCGCTACAGGCAGAAGAAGAGGGCAGAGCAGGATGCTCTCCTTGTTGAGTTCACACAGCTGGAGAGGAAGAACGTGGAACTGACGGAGAAGGCTGAATCCATGGCCAGAGAGGTCGAGTACCTGAAGGAGCTGATGGACGAAGTTCGCCAGACGAGGCTTAAGAAGGGTCTGAGAGCTGACCCCTGAAGGTCGGGCCTGGTGTGGATCAGGAAGTGAGAAAAGTGTAGAGCCGAGTTTATTTTTTCATGCTGCTAGCATGTTTTTACTTACAGCATGCTACGTGTATCAGCACTGGTGTTGAACAGATGTCCTTGTGTGTTGCATCTACTTGAGTATTTTACAGTAAAGTATACTACTAGATGACATGTATGTGCTTCTGGTATCTGGACCTGATACTTATAAACATGTTTGCGTGTAAGCAGACTATGTAGACTATCTCCTAATAAAGAGTCTGAAGCCCACTGAGATGAGTTAATTTCAGGTTTAACAGCAGAAATCCTGTTGCTGTCTAGTGTTTCTGTCCTAAAGCACGGACTGCCGTTATGGAATACTGTTGGATTTCCAAACATTATATTGCTGAAGACACAGTTACTGTTTTATTTATTTTGACATTTTCATAAAAAAACGAACAGGTTAAGATGTAATGAAGCATTTGACTCAACTTGGATAAAAATGAACCCCTCAGGGTTCTGGGGGTCACCAGGTTAGTGACTCCTGCTGACTGACACCCTCCACTAGAGGTCAGCACTAAACTAGCCTGAGCTGATGCCCCCATAGAGAAGGAACACCTGACCCAAGGAAGCTGCCATCAAACCAACCTGGGATTACACAGCAGCACCACAGGCTGTGGGTTAGAGCTTCTCAACTTTTAAAAATGATCAAAAGGCAATGTGAAGGAAATGAAAGACAATGAGTAAGAAAGGTAATCCGTGGATCCCGGGGAAGGGGGGTTGGTAGAAATAGAAGAAGGAGAGGGTGATGAAGGTCACACCAAAGCCTGAACAGGTGAGTTTTCAGCTGCTTCTTAAAGGAGACCACAGAGTCTGGGAGCCACAGCAGCAGATGACCTTTGGTCTTCTGCCTGATGCGCTGCACAACCAGTAGGCTTTGGTCACTGGACCTCAGGGACCTGCTGGGGGTGTAGGGACTAAGAAGATCACCAATGTAAGATGGTGCTTGTCCATGTAAGGCCCTATAGACCAGAACCAGGATCTTGAAATGAACCCTGAAGCTGACTGGCAGCCAGTGAAGCTGGAGGAGAAGCGGGGTGATGTGGGTGTACTTTTATTATTTCTGAACCCCCTGCAGAAGGTGGTTTTGCTCAGACCAGTGGAAAGCGAGTTGCAGTAGTCTAAGCATGAGGAGATGAAGGTGTGGACGCCATTCTCAAGATGACTGACAGAGGCGAGGCACCACCAGTCCCTGTTACCACCACCCAGGGGGGCTGCCAGAGATGTTGGGCCCCATGAAAAAATATCAAGTTGGGCCCCCTGGTGGCTCCTCCATAAGGGGCGCTGTGGCTCCGCCTTCCCAGATGCGAAGGGAGAAAAAAAGAGAATATATATATATATATATATATATATATATATATATATATATATGCTTTATATTAGTGTTTCAGTTTAGCTTAATTGTGCATGTCTACAAGCATTCTAGCTTATTTCAATGTTCAAATGAACTTGTCAAAATAAAGTAGAGACCTCTGAATTCATTTGCATTTGACTGAGACAAAAGTATAGTTTATTTAATGTCTTAAATTAGAAAAAATACTGCAAAGTAAAGTACTTATGGTTTTTAAAATTTTATTTTTTTAATCAAAGTTTGAAACTTTTTTGGGCCCCCTGACAGCGTTGGGCCGTTAGACTCGTCCTAACCTTTCCCCCCTTTACGGCGCCCCTGCCACCACCAGCTGGCAACGTGTCTTGCCCATGGAGATTAAGTTAAAGTCCCATTGATTCATTACTGGTGAAATTGCATCTTCTCATTTGACCCATCCCTGTAGGGAGCGGTGAGCTGCAGCTGTGGCTGTGCTCGGGAACTGCTTGGTGGTTTAACCCCCCAATCCAACCACTCAAATCTGTCAAGCAAGGAGGCGTTGGGTCCCATTTTTAAGGTCTTCAGTGTGACCCGACTGGGATTTAAACTCCGATCTCCCAGTTTCGGAGCGGATACTCTACCACTAGGCCACTGACAAGGTCCAGTTTATTAAAGAAGAACTCAATGGCATTTGTGAGACTTCAAAAGTAGGAACAACACGAACTTGGTCAAAGTATATTGAGTCAAAGCTGATTTCAGTAAACTGGAGTCCTATCTGTGAAAAACCAGTGGGAGGAGGATAATGGAGCTCTCCTGACCAGCAGCAAGCAGCTCATGATGCTCAGTCAGCTGACGGTCCGGTAAATTTGAGGCCAAATGGCAAACACGGAAGAGGACTGAAGTGAAACGACCCTCTCTTCTGGTAGATTTAGCTCCTAATCACTAAATTAAACTCTTTTGCAGTTGATGCTTTACTCAGAAAGCACAGATTTGTCAAAGTGTCTGCTGGATGTTGGGGTGGGTGCTGACCTACGCACAACCTAAACAACATTCCCCTCGAAAATGCTTACATTCATCTTACAAGCAGGCCTCGGGTGGGTACGCTGTAATTGGCCTGGGCTTTAGTCCAGAAAGCTTAGAGGCTCTATACTTCAGTGGAGGCGTGCCAGAAGCAAACTGGTGCAGAGGAAATATGCAAATAATTTCCTCGGCAGACAAAGAGAAAAAAACCAAGCTTGGCTGCTTGGTTTCATTGTGAAGAAAGATAACAGGTGAGATCGTGCCTCCATTGTTGAGACGCCTGACCGGAGCTGCGGCCACAGCACTGTCGGAACCCCCCAAACCCCCTGACACCGACAGTTAGGGATGCTATCAGGCAGAATGAAGAGTCCTGTCGGGTCCTTTTGGCCTGTGGGACTTCAGAGGCAGCTGGTGGGTACCGGCAGTCCAAGCGGAAGGCGACTCAGGTAGTTGTGGAGGCAAAAGCCCGGACAAAGGAGGAGTTTGGTGAGACCGTGGAGCAAAACCTCCCTCTGACCTTGAGGAGATTCTGGTCCACTGTCCGGCGCCTCAGGTTGGGAAAGCAGTGCACCACCAACACTGTTTATAGTGGGGACGGTGTGCTGCTGACCTCGACTTGGGATGTGGTGAATCGGTGAGAGGAATACTTCAAAGACCTCCTCAATCCCTTTGAGGGTGGAGGGGATCTGTGTCGGTGGCATAAGGGTCAGGACTCTGCTTTTTGCAGCTGCTGTGGTCCTGTTGGCTTCATCAGAACGTGATCTCCAGCTTCCACTGGAGCGTTCTCAGCCAAGAGCGAGGCAGCTGGGTTAAGAATCAGCTCCTCTAAATGATAAATGACCTGCGCTGGTATAGCGCCTTTCAGAGTCAGAGGACTCCAAAGTGCTTTACAGTGTATCATTCATCCATTCACATACTGATGATGATGATGAGCTACGATGTAGCCACAGCTGCCCTGGGGTGCACTGACAGAGGCGAGGCGCCTCCGGTCCCTCCGACCACCACCAGCGGGCAAGGTGAGTTAACTGTCTTGCCCAAGGACACAACAGCAGAATCTCTGTCTGGGGCCGGGATCGAATGGTAAATGGCCTGTATTTGATATAGCACCTTCTAGAGTCCTGGAACCCCCCAAGGCACTTTACAACACAATCAGTCATTCACCCATTCACACACACATTCACACACTGGTGGGGATGAGCTACGATGTAGCCACAGCTGCCCTGGGGCGCACTGACAGAGGCGAGGCTGCCGAGCACTGGCGCCACCGGTCCCTCCGACCACCACCAGCAGGCAACGTGGGTTAAGTGTCTTGCCCAAGGACACAACGACAGCGACAGACTGAGCGGGGCTCGAACCTGCAACCTTCCAATTACTGGACAACCCGCTCGGCCTCCTGAGCTGCTGCTGCTGCCCCCAAATCTGAGACCAAGTCGAAAAACTGAGGGCAAGTCCACTCACTCGGCTGACACCACGTTCACCCTCAGGATGCTTTACTGGTAACTGATGAGAGGAGTGCCCACCTTTTCTTCTCCAGATGATTCTTTTATCTAGATCCCCCCAAATGACTTCTTAGCAGTCCCATCCTAGGACCTTTAGCGTACCAAAAGTCAGTCCTGGGTGTGCTTTTCTTTGCTTCTTTGAGAGGTGTCCCTCTGATGGACTCATTCTTGATCCTACCCATCCTCGCCACTCCCAAAATAAAGAAAAAAAAAGTTCTTTGATTTAAAGAGAGCCTCAACATCTGGAGCTCTGCTAATTCTGCAAATCTAACAAAAACAGCAAAATGCAGAGAAATATATTAGCATTTTTATTGTAGTCAGATGTTTAAATCACCAAATACAATTTACCACACGGTCGGTGATATCACCTTGTGGCTGAATATACACAGTGCAAAATGCTTGGCTGAGAGCTTACAGTCATACCTATTACACACTGTAAATGTACACCGCCTATACGACGTACTCACAATGGGAGCGAGACTCTAAGACTTCAAAAGAAACATCTTGGTATTAAACTCTGACGTCATGCGTCGTCACAAAGAGCTGTGAGCCTAGGTCACGAGAAGCACGGCGTTGGTGAAACATACGAGCTGTAGCGGGGGCTTTCTTTCTGTTTTTGTTTATTCCTGAACAAAAAAATAAATGAAACTTCGCAGCCTGGCAGGGGTATCCATCATGAATTATTCATTCTCTTCCATTCTGGAAATGTCAGTCCACCTTTTTTATTCTTGCAGATGTAAAATTTGGAATATTTTGCTTTCAAGCAAGAGCCAGAGGAGTAAAAAGCGAGGTTGCCTTCATTTCTAGGCACTCTTTTGTTTGCATGCGGTGTGTTAACATGCTTCTGACAGCAGAGTACACAATTACACAAGACTTTTGTTGTTGTTGTAAACATCACCACTGACGTCAGGAACGAATGGATGTAGAAAAGGGTTAGCAGGTAGTAAAAGGCCCGATGCGAGCTTGAATGGTTCAGGAGGTTATTTTGTTTCTGTAGCATGAATGCAACTCTGCTGCTGCAGGGCTTTGAGCCCCGCGTTCACGCTTCGATGCTGAGGCACGTTAAATGAATCTATCTTGTCGATATTTGCGCTGAATGCATGACCGTAGTAGAAGAGCTGCTCCATGGGGATCTGACACTGCACACGTCCAACGGCAGCCTACCTCCTTGCTTTTCTTGAGGGTAAAGGCAATAAAAAAGTCACAATTATTCTTCCTTTTTGTTTTTTAAAGAACAAAGTCTCTTAAAGTACAAACTCCCAACAACCTAAAGGCAGACGACCACAGGAAAAGTCAAATTTGATCTACTATTCCAACCACGCCCGCAGTTTAGCAAACAGCATCAATCAGCTTTCTATAAATGCGTCAGAATTTCTCGTAGAGGGATCAGCTTGACCCCGACACCCTGAGCAGACCCTAATAAAACTTTTTTAACGTCCTTCAAACGAACGATCACAGAGTGACAGCAGGCGCCACGCCAAAGCTATGTACAGGTTTCTGCTCCGAGGAGCACGCTCTCACATCTTTAACTTGAGCTCAGCGATTGGGACTGAGCGATGAGCATAAGTGGCACCTGTTGATGATTGTTAAAAGAGCAAGTCACCCCCAAATCAACTTTTTTTTTTCCGATAAACTACATAAATGTGTGTCTAATCGTGCTGCAGACACGTGTAGTTTAGCACTTTAGTGCATTTTAGTTAAAAATATAATTTTCTGCCTAAAACTGTCAGTGTTGTGCCGTTGTCAGGTAAAAACTCTGCACTGCAGTTGAATTTAAATCTGCCATCGCTATTGGCTAAGAGGTACCCTAGAACGTTAGCTGGTACCATATGATGTCACAATGTCGTTGTGAGCCTGTGTGTGTATTTGTTAGCGGCTCGGACCTCTCGGTCTGCTAGGCAACAGCATTTGTTGCATTTTTCAAACAGGAAGTGGGAGTGGAGTAAGAATCTGGTAGGGGGTGACTTGCTCTTTAAAGACAAAACAAGGAAACAACTCCTCCTGTAAATTGTGTAATTGATGTGCACTGCAAAAACTGAGTTCTGAGAAAGTAAAAAAAAAATTATATTTTAGACATTTTATCATATTTAAGCCCAACAAAAAATAATTTTCCAGAAAAATAGCATTGGCTTAAAGGGACTTTACGGAGTTTTGAATTTTTATGCTCGCGATTGCCCCCTCAGGCCAAAAGCGTAACGGCAGCTTCAATAGTAGGCTCGTGCACGAGGCGCACATGCTGTACGTGCACACTCTTAACGAAAATAACAGCTGAGACAGTCCCTTGTGTGTCTGTGTGTGTGTGTGTGTGTGTGTGTGTCGGAGGACAGGAGAACGTGCAGCTAATTAATTAAATAATTTGGTTCTGTACCTTTCTCTTCAGCACAGCCGACAAAGGTTTAAGATGGGTCAGTCCTCCTGCATGCTCAGATCATTCCCTTCCCTTGCTTGAAAAATTGTTCCAAAATGAAAGTTGAACCCACATCTTTTTTTATCTGTGAATTCAATGCCGTTCGGCGAGTCTCAAATAAAAATTTGGGCATCTTACTGTAAAAAAAATATACCATTAATGTAAAAAACTCTAAAATAACTATGCTCACACCCAGAATCAAACCCGGGTCTTCTCCACATGAGTCCCACGTCTTACTAGGTGAGCTAAAGTGCCAGCAATGTCTTCTGTATCTGTAATATTTATATCCTTGATGACAGCTGAAACAACGTTCAAAGAACGGTTCGGAGCGAAAATGGCTATTTTGTTGCTAATTTGCAGGAAATATTTAGAAGAAAGTAGCTAAGGGTCCTCAGAAATGTAGCTAGGTTTGTCACTAGGCGTTAGGAACAGCGACAAAGTCACTGAGTTGGCACTGCCTCTCTTTCTGCTGCTAAAGCTACGGATAGCAAATGCTACGGGCTATGCCTGAGCGTGGACGCGCATGAAGCAGCCTGCTTGACCCGAGCATCTCTCTTTTTCTGTGATTTTACAGAAAAACAGGCAATCACAGTAAAAATGCCAGAGCTCATTCTACAGGACCAGGGCATTGCAGGAGAATGTATGAAGAAGAAATGTATTATTTCTATACATGTTTTGGCTGTCAAACTTCCATAATGCCCCTTTAAATAAAGTAAATATTCTTAAATATAATCCTAAATTTTATGTTTTGAGTAAAAAAAAAATCTGCCAGTGGGGTAAGAAAAAGTGGCTTGGCTAGAATTCCTAAAACCAGAAAATAAATTTAAAACTAGATTATTTTGCTGGTTTTAGGAATTCTAGTCATATATTTTCTTACCTCATTGGCAGATTTTTTTTACTCAAAACAAGAAAATTTGGATCATATTTGAGGATATTTACCTTATTTTGATGAATGCTATTTTTCTATAAAATAATTATTTACTTTTTAGACTAAAAATAAGATAAAATGTAAAAAAATATGGCTTTTATTTGACTTTCTCAGAAATTAGTTTTTGCAGTCTCATCCCATAAATCACGCAAAAACTGATTTCTAAGAAGTCTGCTAATAGCCTTAGAAATTAGCTTTTGAATTGCACATCTGTCACGTGATTTATGGGAGAAGACACACTGTAAAAGGTGATTTCTAAGATTTGAAGACACTCTGCTACTAGGCCACTGAGCTGGTAATATTAGATTTATTAGCTAGTTTTGAGAATTCCAGCCTAGCAACTCATTGGCAGATTTTTAAAATTCAAAAACCAGAAAATCTGATCATATTTAAGAATATTTAACTTATTTCAAATAATGTTTATTTCTGGAAAATATTTTTTTCTATTTAGACTAAAAATAAGATAAAACGTGTCCCTTTTACTGACTCAGAAATGAGTTTTTGCAGTGCGCTGCAGCACGATCCCGTGTGTAAAGTTTTTATCATCAGTGAAGACTGAACGTAGACGTGTTACTGCAGCTCTTGTGACTGGTAGCAGAACATCTCGCCCCCCTCTTTGGCTTGAAGAGTCCGTGTTATTTGGATGAGTCATCTGAAGCTAGTTAAGACTGAGTGAACAGTGGGTATGGTCTCTTGCTGCTAACGCTTGGTTCTTCCCTGAAACTATTCAGAAGGATCTCTAGATGAGGTTCGAGTTACATGAGGTGGTATTTGGATCTGATGAAGGCTTGGAGCGAGAGGAGGAGGCCAGATGACGCCCGCGTGTCACTGCAGTTGGCATCCTCGACAGTCGTCCTCTGGTTCAGTGTTATCAGAGGAGTAGGAGCTCTCCTCGCTCACTGTGAAATAAAACAGCTGTGTTAGTGTTTTCTAAAACAAGACAGAATGAGATTGGCACAGCAGAAGGATCATAATATTCTAATGGAGCATTATTATGTCATATGATGGGCTGTGAGGGATGCTTGATGTAACGGTGTTATTACACTCCACGGAAGACGGTTAAAGGCGTTCTACACTAGATTCTTCAGTAAATCTGGTGGTCTTCAGTATAAATGAATGCCTTGTGAGCCATTTTATGTGTAAATAAAGCTCTGGCGCTCCTGTTTCAAGAAGCAGAAGCCTGTCGGGGAAGTAGGGGGTGGAAAGCAGTAGGATTGTGAGTCTTACTGATTAATAATCTCACCTCTGATTGGGTAACGCGGCTCTTCCAATGCCTTTGTTGTCATGGTCTGAGTCTGCGTCTCCCCTCATGTTTCGCCTTATGTTCTCCATCACTCTCTAGGTTCTCCTTTTGTGTCTCCTAGCGCCCTCATGTGTCCTTGTCTGCGTCTTCCTCTTGTGTCTCCTGGTGTTCCCCATTTGTCCCCAGATCTTTAGCCCACTAGGTTTCACTCCTTAGGCATCCCCCTCCCAGGTCCTGTGCTCCCTTGGCCCCCTTTTAGTCACGCCCCTGTAGTTTTTCTTCCTGTAGTGTTTTCCTTTTGTTTCAGCTTCCCCCTTAGAATATTAGTTATGGTTGCTGCCCTTCTGGTCTTTAGGTTTTTCTCTTAGTCTTTAGATACAGCTGTTCATGTTATTAGTCTCTTTAGTGTGTTTTTCCCATCGGTGTTTGTGGTTTTTCTCTCCCCTTTAGATTATTAGTTATGTTTCCTGCTCTTCTTGTCTTAGGTTTTATTCTTAGGTCTTGTTAGTTTCTTCCCCGATTAGTAATTATGTTCACCTGGTCTCTCTCTCCCCACACACCTGCAGTTCATCTCCCTCTCATCCTCCCCAGTGTATATAACCCTGTCTGTGTCTCTGTGTGTTTGTCGGTCCATTGTTTCTGTCATACTCGTCTCGTTGGCTCTCTAGTGTTTCCAGTGCTTCTAGTGTCTCTAGCTTCTAGTGTTTTTGGATCTCTTATTTAGTCATTTTTGGTTTTTGGCTCCCTGCCTTTTGGATTATCCCTGAAATAAAGGATTTCATTTCATCTTCCACCCCTGCCTCGTCCATCTGGTTTTCTGCATCTTGGGTCCTAACTTCCTCCCGAACCAACTCGTGACATTTGTTTGCTTTTCTTTCTCGGGCAACAACATGTAACGTGGTGTTTTATCTCTACTAGCATGAGCCAGAATGTGTTCCTCCATGTTGTGGAGACGCTAATGCTAACGGTTAGCTTCTACTAGCTCTGCTTTCTCCTGGCGGCTCATCCAACAACAGCTTTCTGTGGTCAAAAGCCAAGGTGGTTGAGACGTAGAAGAAACCGGCTTTTCCTGACCCCTAAATATTCCCGCCTGCTTCCGTTCTGTGGCGAATGCAGGCTACATGGGATGAAGACCATTTTTAACATTCTCCTGCACGTTCAACTCAGAGCAGTCAACCTTTAAGTTGGATCCGAGGCATTGACTGTACATGAACGGTGGACAAACCCTCCGTGACATCCCCCGTAGGGTTCTGAAGAGCTAAACTGAAGCCCAACGGGTGGTTTCCACCACCTCCATCTTGGACGCGTCACGCTTTTCGCTCTACACGTTAACAGAAGTGAAAACTAACCCTGGAAACAGCACGTACGACAACAGCCTTGTGTGAAAGCTACACCAGAATGATCAACTCAGAAGAAAAAGGTCCTCCGCTACACCTTTAAGTTGTAATAAATGTTTTTTGATTGGTGTAATATCTATAAAAGTGAAAGACTTACGCCACTCATCCTGGATAGGGAGGAACGCCCTGTCGCCGTTCTCCCTGATCATCTCCTCAATCCGATCCAGCAGCAGAGACACACTCCTGTCCTTCCCGGGGGTCTTACTGTCCAGAACATGGTAATAGTTCCCGCAGTACTCCAGCAGTCTCTGCAGCTCCCGCCCCCCTCTGAGGATGTGCTCCTCGATGGGCGTGCGACCCAGCCAGTCACCACAGCTGAACAACACCATGGTGTGGAGGCACGCGCTGTCGCCAAACAGAGCCTCAATGTGGGCAAGGAGCGTCCTCCTCTTCCTGGCGGTGAGGGACGAGACGACGGGCAGGACCAGCAGCAGGGTGTGAGGTCCCGGGCGCAGGAGCGCGGCCCCTCGCTGAGACTCCTGCCGGATTCGCTTTGGGGTTCGCCTCACCGAGAACCAGTCCCAGCCCGGGGTGTCGACGATGGTGACCCGTCGGCCGCACACCAGAGCTTGCCTCCGGAGGCAAAGCTCCGTTTCCTGACCAGACTCGAAGAAACGGCGGCCCAGGATGGAGTTCCCCACCGAACTCTTCCCAACGCCCTTCCAGCCCAGCAACAGCAGCCGCAGCTCTGCACAGCCAAAGACACAGAAGATGTCAAAGAAGCAGAAACACAATTAAACCCGCAGAGAACTTCTCTCAGGGGGGTGGCAGCGGGGGCAACATTACAGCAGATGCTAACTCGCCCCTTCCCAGAGTGACTCACTCTCCTACACACACCAACTCAAAACTCCCTCCCACCTCTGGGCGGTCCTCCGATCATCTGCTCCCTTTGCCTGGCGTGCTCCTCCATCCTCATCCTCTCCTCCTCCAGAGCTCTCCGGGCCTGCTCTTCCTCCAGCAGGATCAGTTCGTTCACCTCAAAGTACCAGCCTGCAACGAGGCAGAGCTGCATTATTCAGAGCACTGTTTAGGATGATCCCAACAGAAGATTCTGCAAAGCTGAATCTTGACAAAACCTGCCTAACCTTGGTTGTCTGTGATCATTTCCTCCACCTTCTCCATCAGCTCAGGTACTTGAGTGTTTTCCTCCGTCTCTTTACGAGTGTTATCAAAGGCGTGGTACCTGAGAGAGTCAATAATCATTTATAAGCAGAACTTCACCTAAATCTGCACATCAAAGGACTTCTGTGGCTCAAAAAGCATCTGTGAAAGTTCCTTCAACCCTTTAATGCTTCGCGGTTCTGTCTGTCAGTCTGTGAACACGAGCTCAGGTCACCTCAAAGTGGACTTTTTGTTTCTAAATATGAACAAGTCAGGAAAACATCAGGAGGTAAAAGTTCATAAGGGGAATGTGCAGAAAACATTTAAACACCCTGAAACAAAACAGTGATGTCATTCTGGTGTTATTTCATCACAAGTATTCAAACTGGACAAATAGAATAAAAGCTAGAATATGCAATAAATTCAGTTTCTCAAAAAGCATCAAAATACATAAAATGTTTTCTATGCAAACAAAAAGAAATGTTGTTAGTCTTAGCAAAGGTGAACAGAAGGATCTGGAGTTATGGTATCTGGACATCTCTCCTCTGATTGGCTAACAACTTAACTCTACCACTGACTCTGTTTGCCCTGCAACGTGAATGTTTTATTTCCACGAATAACACGAGCCTGGAGGAATTCTGCTGTGTGGTGGAAATGCTAATGCTAACTGTTAGCTTCTACTAGATGAGACATTCTCTGTTGTTTCCTGGACTCTAAACCAACAACAGCCTTCCCCCATCATGAGTCAAGACGGGTGAGTCAATGAATGCAAATTTTTAGTGTGAAATAGATCTGATTGACCTAATCTGAGCATTTCCTAACCCAATATGTGTAATTACCTAACCCTATATGTCTGATTACCTAACCCTATATGTGTTATTACCTAACGCTATATGTCTAATTACTTAACCCTATATGTGTAATACTTAACCCTATATGTGTAATAACCTAACCCTATATGTCTGATTACCTAACCCTATATGTGTTATTACCTAAAGCTACATGTGTAATTATCTAACCTTATATATGTAATTACCTAACCCTATATGTCTGACCACCTAACCCTATATGTGTAATTACCTAACCCTATATGTCTGATTACCTAACCCTAAATGTGTAATTACCTAACCCTATATGACTAATTACCTAACCCTATATGTCTAATTACCTAACCCTATATGTCTGACTACCTAACCCTATATGTGTAATTACCTAACCTTATATGTCTGATTACCTAACCCTAAATGTTTAATTACCCAACCCTATATGTCTAATTGTCTAACCCTATATGTCTAATTACCTAACCCTATATGTGTAATACCTAACCCTATATATGTAATTACCTAAGCCTATATGTCTAATTACCTAACCCTATATGTGTAATACCTAACCCTATATATGTAATTACCTAAGCCTATATGTGTAATTACCTAACTCTGTATGTGTAATTACCTAACCCTATATGTGTTATTACCTAACCCTATATGTCTAATTACCTAACCCTATATGTCTGATTACCTAACCCTATATGTCTGACTACCTAGCCCTATATGTGTAATTATCTAACCCCATATATGTAATTACCTAACCCTATATGTCTGACTACCTAACCCTATATGTGTTATTACAAAACCCTATATGTCTGATTACCTAACCCTAAATGTTTCGTTACCTAAACCTATATGTCTGACTACCTAACCCTATATGTGTAATCACCTAACCCTATATGTCTAATTACCTAACCCTATACAGGGTATCTGCAGGTTTAAGGGAGACAAATGTAAGACTTTTTAAGACCTTTTTTAAGGCCACTTTGACCAAATTTGGGCTATTTTAAAAATTAAATTTAAGCTATAATTTCCAGCTATAGCCTGGAACCTTTGCTAACCATGTCGCGAACGTGGGGATTAGCCATCCTGTTACCATTAAGCTTGTGTTTCCCCATGGCGCAAACTCCCACTAGCTTAACCAGCTAATGTGCTCATTTAAAATAGCCCCCTTTCACAACCAACTGAATGTGTACGGTTCTGCTTACGCCAACATCATACACAAAAAATGCTGAACACCAACTAGAAATTCACGAAAATTTTATAGAAATAAAAGAATCTTGTTTATTGGGTCTTTGGTAATTTAAGACCTTTGGAAACTGTATTTAAGGATTATTTGTCATTTTTAAGGATTTTTAAGGCCTTAAATTTGGAAAAGCTCGTTTAAGACTTTTTAAGACTTTTTAAGGACCCGTGGATACCCTGCTATATCTCTGACTACCTATATGTGTAATTATCTAACCCTATATATGTAATTACCTAACCCTTTCTGTCTGACTACCTAACCCTATATGTGTAATTACCTAACCTTATTTGTCTAATTACCTAACCCTATATGTGTTATTACCTAACCCTATATGTGTTATTACCTAACCCTTTATGTCTAATTACCTAACCCTATAGGTCTGATTACCTAACACTAAGTCTGAACAAGGTCTTTACAATCTCCGTTCACCTAAATAAACTTTATAGAGCTGCATCTGTTACACGACCTTTAGAAACAGATCATTTATCATTTTTGATAAATATCTACTGAAGCGGATTAGGGCCACTAAAAGTACTTGTCTCTTTTCTCAGATTTTTAAGAATAACGTGAGAAAAGTAATCTCACTTTTGTAGAAGATCGAAATGATCTAAAGAGCCACTTGTGGTGCCAGAGCTGCAGATTGCGAACCCCTGGTCTAGCCAATGAAATATTTGCCCTTTTTTCTTCAGGCGGAACAGTGAGCAGCCTCCAGCCCAGACAAGAAGGCTGACAAAAAAGCGCAGTCCCGTACTCACACTTCCACACTTGCGCCCTTCAATTGCGCGATCCCGGCCAGAGGTGCGAGCAAATAGGACAAGAGTCTCTGACCTTTTTTGGCCTGTGAGCTACTGTTACACAATGACAGGAGCGCTGCCACCATTCGATTCATTCACGTTGACTTTACATGTGTGAATATTTCTAATGAAAGTAGTTCATTTTAGGACAATTAATTGATGCTCTGAATGTTTTGGCAACAATGAATTTAAATTAATTTCAAATAATTGTTTGGTGGTTTGTTTGAAAGTTGTTTATATAGATTTTTAAAACAAGTAGCACGGCGACCAGCATTCCGGCATGCGTTGCAGTTGATGACTCAATGCTCCCTGACCCAATTTGGCAATTATTTGCACACTTGTGTACCATGCAAGAGAAGCCTTACTTTCTCCAAGAGCACTTCACAGAAGACCATTGGGTGCGGTGTGAGTATTGGGATTGGGCCAAAGAGCTCGATCTCTGAGGCTGCCTGGTTATATGAAACAGTGTAGACGAAGTATGTATTCACAGCCTGGTTTTTCTCCATCCAAAGATAAATACTGAGTATCGGCACTCTATGGATCTGAGCTATAAGATCTGAAGTTTAGCATAATCCCATGTGACGACCCCCCTCCTATTTTTGTCACTTTGCTCTTTTCTTTCAGAGACACATTACATGTAAGGGAACCATGAGATATCCTACCTGCTCCCACATCGCTCCACCAGCCACTGCAAGGCCTCCCCGGTGTTGGCTATGTGCTCCTCTATAAACACTCCTTTGGTCAGCTTGTCCACTCCGGTAAAGAGGACCATGCAGTACCTCCAGGTCCCGCCACCCAAGGCTGTCAACTGCTCCTCTGCAGCCCTCCTCTCTTTGTCGGTGAAGGGTTTGGTGATCGACACCACCAGCAGGATGGCGTGGGGTCCGGGAGGGCAGAGAATGGCCCCCATGCATGGCCCCTCGCTGTCCAGGCTTGGTGGGGGCCGCGCTGGACTGTTTGACTCTGCTCCAGCATTGTCAGTTTCAGCTTCTTCATCATCTTCATCAGGGTCGGCGGGGATGGCCCATGTCGGCGTGTCGACCACCGTCACCCGCCGACCGTAGATCTCCGTCTGACCCACATTGCTGTGCGTGGTCTCCGTCCCGGCGTCAAAGAACTCATTCCCCAGGATGGTGTTGGCGGAGGAGGTCTTGCCTGACTGAGGTCCTCCTAGGATCAGTAATCGACGCTCAGGGGGGTGACGGCACCTGTGTTCCCCTGTGGCACAGAAAGATCAGGTGAGACCTCTTCAACAGGCGTAAACCTCGGCACCACCATGCGTCGTTGGTAGAACTGTTGCCTAACAGCTAAAAGGTTGCAGATTCAAAACTAACTTTCTGTGTGCAGTTAACATGTTCTCCCCACGCATGAGTGGGTTGTGGTCGGAGGGATCAGCAGTGCCTGTGCCTCTGCCAGTATGCCACAGGGGGCTGAGGCTACGATATAGCTCATCACCATCAGTGTGTGAAAGTCACGTTGGATAAGAACGTCTTCCAGAGAAGTAAGCGCAATCACAAAGACCGCGTTCACAAAACAAAAACCGTAACAATCCCCAGGACTTTTAGGAAAACACTGAAACTGACTAAATGAAACATAACTTTCTAAAATCATGAAGCAGGCTCTCAAAAAGCAATACGCTATAATTAAGAACAGAACCCAGAACGGCATCTAAAGCACTTTGTGGGCTGAAAGACCAAGTTCACTTCTTTATTTAATACTTCAGCAGGGGTCTCTAATATAAATGAATGCCTTGTGAGTCGATCCCAATGAAAAAAGCTCTGGTACTCCTGTTTCAGAAACCAGAAGTTATCCAGAGCTGAGCAGATGACAGCAGGATTTGGGGTTTTATTTCCTGAGATCTGGACATCCTCGGATCGGCTAACAGCAACACGACTCTACCACTGACTGTTCAAACATGGGTGATATTTCTCCACAAATAACACAAGCCTGAAGGAGTTCTGCCATGTGGTGGAGTTGCTAATGCTAACAGTTAGCTTCTGCTAGCCGAGACGTTCTCTGCTGTGTCCTGCACGCTAAACTAACAACAGCCTTCCATCGAGAGACAAAATGGCTGAGCTTTTCTAATCTATGAGTCTAATCTAAGAGACACGATGGTGGCAGTGTGATGGTCCGGGGCTGCTTCCTGGACAACTTGTTGTAACTGATTAAACCATGAATTCTGCTCTCTAGCAGAACATCCTGAAGGAAAACATCTGACCTTTGACCTCAAACAGCCTTTTCATGGTGGAAAACCCTCAAGCAGAGATGAATTACAACAACGGATCGAACAAAATCCCTCGACAGTGCAGAGAGACTCATTACGACCTATTACCGAAGCTGCCTAGTGTTAAAAGTTCCATCATTAGTTTGTTCTCCGCATTTGACCCACTCCCCGGGGGAGTGGTGAACAAAAACATTGCCACCAGTTGCCACCCTCAGTTAGGCTGTCCCCCTCTCTGCCAGTCTTTAAGAATCACCTAAAAACACACCTCCTCCACCTGGCGTTTCCAGAACATGTTTGATTTTGGCCCTCGTTTATGTTGAATTTATTTCACAGTTTTCATTGGTTCACTCAATCCAAATGTGTTTCACACATTTGTCCTGTACCAGAATGTTTCATCTATCTTGTAATTTGTAATTTGTAATTATATATATATATATATATATATATATATATATATATATACATATATATATACAACAATTATAAACAAAATAAACCAAAGAAGGGATGAGTGAAATGTGTTCATGACGCTGAAGCACCAAAAACAGTGTTCTTGACTGATATGCAGTAAACATAACAAAATACCAATAAAGTAATAAATGTTACGTATATACATACAAAGTTATATATGTATACATAGGAATATGTATATATGTATCATAAACAATAACAACACTAAGAAAATAAGACAAAAACATAAAATAAAAAAAATATGCAAATGTGATGCAATCCAATATGGCTGCCACCGGATGATGTCATAATATGCAAATTATGTGGGTGAATTTGTTCCTATCACAAAATTTGGCTCATACTGAAGATTTTTCTAATTTACAATATTCCTCTATCTCTAACCAGATTTAAGCTACACGCTCTTTAAATAGTGATATAAAAAATCATATTTTACTGAAAAAACTATGGCGCCTAAAGGGTTAAGTCTCTGGTAGGGGGTGACTTGCTCTTTAAAGCTGAGTGTCAAGCGGGGAGGCATTGGCTCCCATTTTTCAAAGTCTTTGGTGTGACCCGACTGGGATTTGAACCACGACTCATACCGCTAGGCCACTGAGCTGATCAGTGTGTTACAGCCTAGGAGTCCGTTACATTTTCACATAGGACCATGGTGGTTTGGATAGTTTCTTTTGTATTAATTCTGGTTCTATTTGTCTGATTCTGATTTGTTTTCTTACTGGTCGGAAACATTTAAGTGTGACCAAAAAGAAAACCCCAGAAAAGATTTGTTTCCTCGGGTTTGAACCTGCAGTCAGAGGAAATTACCCACACTTGTCTGCCTCCTTTCATTTAAAACTCTACCCTTCTCATGTCCTCCAACCCTGCTCCCAGCATGCCTCCTCTTCCTTTCATCATCCCACCACTGGAACAAGGTCAGGATGAGTACCGCTGGGCTACTTCTGGACACAAACAGAATATGAAATGCTGACAGCTGAAGTTATGTCACTGACTGACTGGCAGGAGAAGCGAAGAACGCCCCACGAGGGCGCGGAGATGTGAGGGTGTGAGGAGCGGAGGAAAGTTTATTGATTTCTCTCTGCTACACTCTGCTGATCAGGCTTTCTGTGAGGGCTGCTGATCTCTGAATGTGCAACAGTTCCTCTCAGAGAGGAACGCCGCAGGGCTCGCCTTGGATGAAAGGATGAAAGGAGCAGAGATGATGCTGAGCCTGAGCCAAGGAGTATGGCCAAGGATAAAAACTCACTCACCAGAGTCAGAGGCAGAGGACACAGCAGCCATCTTGTGGGTAGAACCTCTGGCTTCCTCCTCCTCAGCCAACCTCCTTCTCCTCCTTCTCGCCTCCACCGTGGATGCCTTTTCCTGCTTCTTCAAAAAGCCGACTGGTGTGCAAAGGGCTGCTCCTCTGCTCCTTCCTCCTCTTTAACCCTCATTCTGCTGCAGTGTTAATCACTCACGTCCTCAGCTCTGTGCCCTGGTCTCTTACACCCTCTTTGCTGCTTCTTTCTTTTCTCTTGCGTTTGTCCCTTTCCCTCCTCGTCCTCCAGCAGTCTCTTGTTTGGTTTTATCTCTCCGAGCAAGCTGGAAGGATTGTGCAATGCAGGGAACTTGATGCCAAAACCTCACCTGCTGCAGCAGCTTCAAGAGGATGTCTCATCATTTTTTTTTCTTTTTTTGAGGCAAAGCAGGGAAAGATGTTCCTCCCACTCTGTTGTATCACCCAGCAGCAGCAGCAGCTCGGTTGGTATTCAGACTGCAGTCCGGAGGAAAGATGGATAGACAGAAAGAGGGAGGGACAGAACCAGAACAGAGAGAGAGAGAAGGAGCGAGAGAAAGAGAGAGAGAGCGACTCAGCTCTGTTTACAGCTGGATATAATGTATTCCATCGTTGCTCACACACACACACACACACACACACACACACACACACACACACACACACACACACACACACACACACACACACACCCACACACACACACACACACACACACACACACACACACACACACACACACACACACACACACACACACACACACACACACACACACACACACACACTTATGTAACTCCAGCAATCTGTCACGCAGGAAGTAGGTGACTACATTAAGCAAATATAAACACCAAACATGACGTCATAGCTCCTATTTGTCACACATAGCAGTAAGACGTCTGACCGTTGTGTGAACATTTCTGAACACAAAAGCTTAATAAAAAAAAGAAAAACTCCGTTTCTTAGCTCGCTCGCTCCTCCTGTGGTGTTTTACGTGAACGCGTCATGAAAGCTAGTTATTTTCGCCCAGGTGGAAACAACTGTTGGCTCATTTCAAACAGATTGCTCTGGACACAGCTCAGGAGCATATACCACATGTTAAGTACATTTTATTAGTAATTATTAATGTATTTATGTCAACAATATATAATAAAACTGATAAAACACGATTTAAATGTTCACAAGCAGTGTGGGTCAGTTTTGCCGTACTGCGCTACAAGTGTCGCAAATCAGACAACGCACCGTACGCTAACTTTAACTGTCGTAAAATCATCCGCTCCTCATGTGATGCTAGCAACCCAGCTGCTGCTAACGGGCGTGTTTGTGTGTGTCAGTTTGTGTGTGTGTGTGTGTTGTATGAGCAGCTGAGGGAACACTCTTTGTACAAAAAACATGGAGGCTGACGACGAGTTTATGAAGTATCGCTCCCCGCTGGTGTCTAGATACGCTAGCAAGGAAATGGCCTTTAACTTCAGTGACAGGAAGAAATTCACCACCTGGAGGAGACTGTGGATCTACCTGGCTAAAGCTGAGAAGGTTTGACACGATGATGATCGCTCACCGACCGCGCCTTTTAACATCTAACCTCACGTGGCAGGTTTTTCTGAACTAAACTTGGTGACCTTTTCAGTCTCATCGGGTTTCCAGCTCTAAATATAGTTTAGATCCCCACAGGACAAAGGGAGTTACAGTTCATCCACAAGAAACATATAAAGTCCAAATTATCTGTAGAACTACAAACGAAGTAAATGTTCATAATGGATACATCCTCCTCCTTATTTCATGTAGAATAGTTTACAGAGAAACTTACCATTTAAAACTGGTAAAAATGCTGCATCCAATTAAAGTTAATATATTTTAGCACTCTGAATAAAACGGGTTTTATTGATCCTTCATTACCTCATTCAGTCTGGACAAGTAATTATATACACACATTTATTATCAGTAGCTTCTCACTGTGAGGAAAATAGATCAAACTGTATTTTAAATGAATTAAACTGTCCATAAAATTAAGTCTTTATATAGACGTTTCAGTACGATTGTTGATTTAAAACTACACAATGTTTTCAATCCTTCTTTAGTCTGACCCTCATTGGAAATGCGTTTGCAGCCTCTTTCATTCAATAAAGTAAAAACTTACAGTAGTTTTATCCAGTGAATCCAAACTGAGTCTTGTTTGGTTTCTTGTTTGTAAAGACGGTCGCAGAAATTTTAGAAGTTCTGGGTTTTAAATAGTTTTTTTTTCTAGAGCGAAATGATATTTAAAAAGCAGATGTGTGTTTGGACTTAATTTGGGGTTTCTCTTTTCCACGCAGGGTTAAATATAAACTCATTCAATTCAAGTTTATTTATATAGCGCCAAATCACGACAAGAGTCGTCTCAAGGCACTTCACACTGTAAACATTCCAATACAGGTCAGTTCATTAAGCCAATCAGTAAAAAGTTTCCTATGTAAGGAACCCAGCAGGTTGCATCGAGTCACTGACTAGTGTCAGAGTCTTTACAGCAATCCTCATACTAAGCAAGCATGCAGCGACAGTGGAGAGGAAAACTCCCTTTTAACGGGAAGAAACCTCCAGAGAATCCTGGCTCAGCAGACATCCACCACGACTCACTGACACACACGCACGCACGCACACACAACATATATACCAAGTAGTGTTTCTATGGTTACATTGTGATTTCTTAGTAAATATTCTATTTGGTGAGAGATAAACTTTATTGTATTTATCCTAGTGGATCTATAATTAAACGGGTAAACTAGTAGTAGCACATTCAGTGTCAAAGAAAGTAAAATGTTATCAGGAGAGGGAGAATGTTTAAGTGGTCAGCAACAGTGTTCAAGCTGATGGCCCCCTCCATGAGCCCACCACAGCTCAGCAGAACATCGTTGTAGCTTCTTCTAGGGAGAAAAACACTTACAGAGAAAATAAAGTTAACAGCTGAAATAGCAGGAAATAATGCAGTTAAAGAGCAGACTGTAGAAGAAAGTAGTCGAGTGTGGAAAGTGGTCAGTGTGTCCTCCAGCAGTCTAAGCCTATAGCAGCATAACTACAGAGATAACTCAGGATAACCTAGCCTATTAGATGGAGGCATGTTGGAGGCAGGGCAAGGGAGAGCCGTCTTTACCGACTCTGTTCTCCACATAAATGGTGGTTTGTTGAAGTCTTAATTTGATGAGGTTTTACTAACTCCTGGTTAGTTGTAATTGACTAGAGCTGCTTGTTTCTCCTTACCAGCATGAAAACGATTGTCTTGACTGAATCTATGGACTGATCAATAATCAGAACAATGGAAAAGTCCAAAGAACTGTGAAGGTCTAAGGAGGAGAATTCTTGATTGAACATGTTGGGGAAAGTCTCTTGGAGCTGTTTCTGAACAACTTTATTAGACGAATGTATGAAGGTTGAATGATGACTCAGTCTGTCCTCCTTAGATTAAGAGAAGTTAGTTAGGATGTGCAGGACCCCCCTAGCCTGGCAAGCCACCCTATATTAATTTAGTCAACCCCTACCAGAGTCTAACTCCACTCCCACTTCATGTTTGAAAAATGCAACAAATGCTGTTGCCTGGCAGACCGAGAGGGCGGAGCTGCTAACAAATACACACACACAGGCTCACAACAGCATTGTGACATCATAATGTACCAGTTTACATCATAGCATACCTCTTAGCCTATAGCGGTGGCAGATTTAAATTCAAATACAGTGCAGAGTTTTTACCTGACAACGGCACAACACTGCCAGTTTTAGGCAGAATATTTAAATTTTAACTAAGATGCACTGAAATGCCAAATTATTGACTACATGTGTCTGCAGCACGATTAGACACTCGTTTATTTAGTTTATCAGCAAAAAAAAGTTTATTTGGGGGTGACTTGCTCTTTAATGGACCGATACCGATATGTTAATAAATGACTAAAATCGGCTGATATCGATATTGATGCCAATACATTGTCCATCCCTAATTGAAAGCAAGATTATTTTTGCTTCGGCAAATGACGGTCCAGATTCTAGGCTAGAACCTCCCGAGTCTTAAACTGGAACCCCTGGGTCTCCATCCACAGTGAAACCAGTTTTATATCATCACAGACTGAAAGAAATCCACTTTGCAACTGAGCTGAAATCTGCAGTGGCCCTCAAGGACGATTCAAACGCCACACACACGGAGGCAGGGCGGATTGTAAACAAAGACTACGTCCCTCTTTGGCTTTTATAAAAGGAGAAAAACTGACAACCCCCCAGCCGGCTGAGAAATAAATCTGTTTTAATGTAACCTTCCTTCCAACATGATTGAGAAATTACACTGCAGAATTCTTACTAGGGCTGGGCGATATGGACCAAAACTTATATCTCCCATCTTTTTGCTGAATTCCGATATACGATATATGTCTCGATATTTTCCTCTTGTAAAATATTTTCAAGTTAAATGTCTGGAGAAATTATAAACATAAATTAGTAGTTTAAATGCATAAAAATGTATTGATTCTTATCAAACTTTAACCTTAATGCCTACTCTCTTCCAGTGACAGTCTGAGCTTTAGAAACACACACACACACACATTCTCTCTCTCTCTCTCTCTCTCTCTCTCTCTCTCTCTCTCTCTCTCTCTCTCGCTCTCTCTCTCTCTCTCTCTCTCTCACACACACACACACACACACACACACACACACACACACACACACACACACACACACACACACACACACACACACACACACACACACACACACACACACACACACACACACACACACACACACACACACACACACACACACACACAGCTTTCCTACAGTCCCCCTGCTTAGATTGAGTTAGCCCTGTTGACTGTGTGGAAATAGCAGAGAATGTCTCCGTAACAAGAGACGGTCCTCTGAGACGATGGATCTTCATGACCATAGCTCGGTCTCAGTTCTTTTGCTGTTATTCTTAAACCACAGGGATTCCTAGCATTCGGTCACTTTACGACTTTGGAGCTGACCTTTAATTCAACTGTAACTTATATAAATGGGTCCATGTCTTACATGAACTCCCACCATCTTGTAGTTTTCAGATCCCTGAAGTTTTGTATTGTAACTGGTAACAAGGACAGCTTGTTCGTGTCACGATTACAGAAAGACGAACAGGATCACTGATATCAGCAGCAGGAAGATTATCTGGAAACTGTTTAAAAGGTTTAAAGTGCAGAGTTGCACGGCATACATGTATAGCGCTAAAGGAGAGGAGAGGTCCTGTTGTTTATTTAAAAAAAATAAACAACTTCCTGTGTGAACAGAACAGAAGGTACATGGAAAATCGAGGCCAACAGAAATGATAAAGCTGCAGCCAGTGGCTCATTAGAGTCACCATGGCAACCAAACACCCATGTCTCCATCCCTGATAACAAATTTAACATAAATCTATTTATTAACAATAAATAAATTTGCTCGGGTTTTCCCCAGCGCTTTATAAGCCGTCAGGCTTCACCCACCAGGCTACGCGTTTTCTCCCAAAATAAAGAATTAACTGGGATCTAAATATTTTTTGGGGAAAATATTTTATTTGGAGGTAAATATTTTGTTTTAAACAAAACAAAAATGTATTTATTTTCCAAAATAAATATTTAGCCTGGAACTAAATGGTTTTCTGGGCACGGGGTTATGGGTTATTTGGAGGCACATGTAGCACCTCTATCCTAACTTTAGTTGAGATACTCACATTTACCTAGGTTCTATAGGAGTAACACTCAAAAAGGAAGCAAGTGCTAGGTTGAACAATTAACATTTATTGCTGCACGACAAAATTTTGACAGCTCTGCTGTAATTCTCAATGAAATTTAAGGTGCCACAAGAAAATAAAAAAAGAGATAAAACAAAACCAAATCAGTCCATTCGATTGAGCTCAACCGGTTAATAATTCGGATTCCAAAATGTATGTGTGTGTGTGCTGTTCACGTTGTCCTTCAGTATTGCTACTCCTACTACTATCCATTTGACATTTATACAGTTTGTCAACTGTTAATTTAACCGTTAGCTTAAACGTTAGCATCTCGCGCTTAGCATTAGCATAACGCTAACATTTTTTTTCCAACACTTTAAACATAACTTAAGGACACAAACAAAATATAAATGTCACAAAACATTTCCCAAAGCTATTTTAACCTTATCAAACATCTACTTCTACGTAGTTAACAAATATATTTAGGTTTTACTCCATCACTGCTACCAATAACAGTATAGCTTAGTATGGGACTCACCGGAGTTTCAAGCAGTTAAAAGAAAAGGTAAATGCTTCTGGTCTCACTCTCTGGTAATATTCATCACATCTCTCGTCCAAAATAGACAGGTCATTGTTTTATTCACAACAGTTTGTTGTTTGTTTGTCGTCCTAAGTTATTGTCTGTAGCTGTCTGCCTTTTGTCTCTCTCTCTGCACTCTAGTGCTGCTGACACTCGGCTCTTAACATGTCAGACTATGTGGATTAGTCTTATATCCTGACTTTGTACAAGGGTTACACCCTCCCTCCTTGAATCTGCATGAGTCCCTTCATGCTG